ACATTAAGATAATAAGAAATAGAAATAAGAGAACTATCCAACTTTCCTAGGTAACCTACTACAATAGGATATTAGAAATGTTAGATATGAATAAGTGCAAGCCCATGTCTACCCCAATAGACAAAAAGATAAAGCTCAATAATAAGATGTGTCTTACTGAAGATGAGGATATAAAAGCCATGGAGAGTATGCCATATAGAACCACGATTAGGCCCCTTATGTACACTATGACAGGAACAATGCCTGACTTATATTTTATCATGAGCATGGTTAGCCGATTCCAATGTAATCCTGGAGATGAGCATTGGATGGCGGTTAAGAGAATCCTAAAGTATTTAAAAGGGAAGAGCATTGTATGACACTTACATATGGAGGAGGAGCTAAAATTGCAATTGAGGGATATTTAGATGCAAGTTATCTCACGGATCCAGATGATGTGAAATCCACATTTGGATATGTGTTCATGCTTAGAGGGGGTACAATTTCTTGGAAATCAAAGAAACGAGATGTGGTGGCATTGTCCATCATGGAGGCAGAGTACGTGGCGTACTGTTTGGTGGCCAAGGAGGCTGTATGGATTAAGAAATTTCTTAATCAACTTGACATGTATGTTGTGTGGCAGTAAGGATTTTCTGCGACAACACGGTGGCGATTTGCCTATCAAATGAGTCACGATTCCATAAGAACACCAAACATATAAAAACATGTTTCTATCACCTAAGGAATGAAGTGAGATTGAAAGTGATCGAGATTAACCATATATCCACATATATGATGATTACAGATTTTCTGATAATGGGAGTTGGCCCTAATGTTTTTGTAAGACATGTGAGAGAGATGGGGATGAGAGAAAGTGAAGAAGAGAGAATGAAAGGTCTTCAACGGCCAAGTGAGAGATGTTGGGTGAGTGTGACCATTAAAGGCCTTTTTGATGTTTTAGAAGGCATTTGCCTTGAGGAAGAGTTGAATGGAGTTTTGAAAAGAAGGAGAAGGCTTATGCATAATTTTGGTATGCACAATATTATGAATGAAATTATTTATTTAATTTCTATTGATGGGAAAATAGTTTAAGAAGTGGGGGATAAATGTTATAGCACTTTCCATATGATGTTGATGGCCTATCTATGAAATGACGGGCTCAAATCTCTCACCCCACAAGTCACCCAAGATCAATGGTGCATATTCAATCTCACAAGAAGATGCAAGCTATGAAAAACCTAAGAAACCCTAATCCTATTTTGCACTATAAATAGAGGACACCATGCTCATAATTTTCTATACTTAAATCTCTCTTCTCTCTCTAATATTTCTCTCTATCTCTAGAATGCCAAAATAAAGGGTACGCCCCACTTAAGAAATAAAACTCTTTCTCTAATGCGAAATTAAGGGGCACACACCACTTATATAGAACTCTTTCTCTCTTCTTATTTTTGTGATGATCTAAGGGTTTGGGTAGTAGTAAGTAGATGCTATATCTCTTAAATTGTGTTTTATGGGTTACACTTAAGTTTGAGATTTGTGATCAATAGGAGTTCAAAGTTCTATTGGAAGGTTTGTCCTAAACTTGTTTTCCCTAAATTGATATTGAAGGTTGATCCCCCGCTATCAGATAGTAGTGACTCGGTGTGGGGTGTAATAAGCCCAGTTGAGGTAATCTCGAACACTCTCTTTTTATTTCTTGCCATATTTAATTATATTGTCTCTATATTCTCAAGCATAAGAAAGGTGGTTATTTGCTTTGTTTAAAGAAAATTGGTTTAGTAACATCAAGGTTTTAAGACCTTAAATTTGCAATATTTTTTTTTTGAAGCAAGAGTTTATTGTAATAAGACTACTTGTAAGTGATATTTTGCTAAAAAAAAAGAAAAAGAAAAAGAAAAAGAAAAAGGGGTGAAATGAAGAAAAATAAAAAAATATATCCTCAGCAAGATCACATTAGTCTTTCTTTCAGTTTCAATACTAGAAATCTTTGTGATAGCCGTAAACTATATTTTCATTATTAATTATAAAATTTAAAGCTTAAAAAATAGAGTAGATCGAGTAGATCTATGAAACTTGAAAATTTTTAAAATTGACGGTCCAAAAATACATTACAAGATGCACTATTTCCAAAACTTAAACTCAATTTTTTTCTCATGTCCATGCATCTTGATGTTGAGATTATCAATTTGAGAATATTTGGGCATCAAAGCAACATCCTCTAATGAAAACCTTGAGGTGGGTTCTAATTTAGTTGTTTAGAGCCTCGGCTCTAAATAAACTTTTTCCCTCTATAAATAGGGGCCAATTTTTCCCACTTGTATGCACTTTTTCCTACTCATTTTCTCTCTCTTATTAATTTCTCTGTCTCGAAATTAAAGACAACTATGATGCTTTGTAGTTCTACTATTCCACTGCATTGAGTAGGCAAGACCACACAAAGACTTGATTTTTTTTTTTAGGTATCCAGATGATGTAGTCATCCTAGTAGGGCCAAATATAGTCTCGAGGTATTGCATTTGCTTCCCTAAAAACAGGGGGCAAATATAGTCTTGAACCAATGCCTTCCCTGGCCTGTACACAAGAAGATCCATCTTTCAGTTTTGTTTTACAAGCCTCTATCGTCTAAATTATCTGCCTTCATTTTACCTATAGCCTTAGAATTGTTTAGAGCCTCGGCTCTAAATAAACTTTTTCCCTCTATAAATAGGGGCCAATTTTTCCCATTTGTATGCACTTTTTTCTACTCATTTTTCCTACTCATTTTCCCAATCCGAACTGGTGTGTAAAAAATAAGTCATACAAAAAGCAGGTGATCTTCCTTGGACCCGGATCACCCCCAATACCCACCCAATCCCCTTTGAATTAGGCGATTCAACCTTCCCTAGTCACGAGCAGAAATAACATGTAAGCCCTGGTGGTTAGGGTGAAAGGGTGCCACAACATGAAGGTAAACCACTTGAATGTTATAAGAAAGAAATCGGGTAATGACTCGAGTATAAATCTAAGTAAAATGGAAACGTTCCATTACATGACACTAGATATGGATATCTTTATTTTGTAGAAAATTTATCATGGGTTTAAGAGGTGAACAATTTAACACTTTACTCGTAACTTCTGGTTTTATTCAAAATTCTCGTCAAAAAATACTTGGAGGAACGGTAGCAAAAGGGCAAAATGTTAAATACCTCATCTCTCATAGGTATTTTGATAAAGCAAAATGTTTTGATAAGTTGCAACCCTATCAAAATAAGTTAAGTCTCACCACAAAAATCATAAAAAAATTGTAGCTCTCGCATCGGAAAAGCTTTCAAATCGATCATCTCAGCAATCATGGATATGAAAAAAATTAGAATTTAAAGCCCTAAAAGAAGTATATATCATAACACATTACCAGTATCGTCTGTTTTCCCCTAAAAGTAAGGGTTCAAGGATCCATGAGATGTGTATTATTGTTTGAGTTTCAAATTTCATAGTCGGTATTGAAAAATGATTTTATAGCCATCATGAGGATATCCTATGCCCAAAGTGCTCTCCAGGTGAGGATTTGAGGTGAGGCTTTACTTTCTTTTCATAAAGCCTAGGCCTTATAGAAACTGCATAAATCCTCGTTAATTTATTTTATGAATTAGATGAAAATAGGTGCACCTCAAAGTTCACTAGAAGAGGTTGGTTTGATGCCCAAAAATCCTCAAATCGATCATCTCCCTCTCAAGATGTATGGGCATGAGAAAAATGAATTTCAAGTATTAAAAATAATGCATCCTATAATATATTTTATAGACCGTCAATTTTCAAGATTACCAAGTGTTTCTAGGTCTGATCTAAACTATTTTTCAAAAGATACGAAAGTACATTCTCACACCACCACAAAGATTTCCAGCACTAAAATAACATCTTTCGAAAAAAGGTGTGCGTTACGTTGATTGTTTAGAGCTGCAGCCTTATACAATCTACACCCCTCATATAATAACATGTACTAAATCCATTGTTGTCCTCATAGGGACCAGCTGAGATGAAGACTTCTCCTGCATTATCCACTCATGCGGGAGCCGGGGTCCATCTCCACCGTCCGTCGTTGAGCACTCGTGCTGGAGATTGGACCAGCATTACAGTATAAGTTACAATCTCGCATTACTCCCTGGGAAGCCTCCGGAAGCCTACTGTATATATACTCCCTACACCTACTTGGGAATATTTTTGAGGCAAAAATTTTGAGAACCACGTTAAAATTATAAGATGATTATTTTGAAAAGAAAAAGTTGAATATTATTTTATGATACTTAGATCTAGCCCTTCAAAAATTGGATGGCCTCCATTCAATCTTGAAGCATTAATTTTTTCTAGTACATAGCAAGCTTATTTTAGAAATTATTTTCAATGAGATTAGTCTATAGGGTAGAGATTATGTCCCTAAAATTTGAGATATCACCACTAACACTATTCTATTAAGGGTGCAGTTTGTATAGAGCCGAGGTTCTAAACACCTTCAAATAGTGTTGAGATATGTGGTTTCAATACTAAAAATCTTTGTGATAGTTTTAAAATATATTTTTATCTATAATTATAAAATTTAAAGCTTAAAAAAGAGTATAGATCAAGTAGAAATATAAAACTTGAAAATCTTGAAAATTGATGGTTCAAAAATATATTACAAGATGCATTGTTTCCAAAACCTGAAATCTATTTTTTTTTCTTATGTCCATGTATCTTGATGATCAATTTGAGGATATTTAACCATCAAAGCAACTTGAAATTTTTAAGGTGGGCTCTAATTTGATTCTTTAGAGCCTTGGCTCTATATACACTTTTTTCTTCTATTTGGAAAAACGGGTAAAGGCCTATCTTCCAAAACAAATAAAATAAAATTTAAGATCTAAAATGTATCCCTAGTATGTGTATTGTTCAGTGGAGTAAATAGATAATTCGCACCCGCGGGAGTAATAAACATGAGGAAATACATAGGAATGTTATACTTTCCCCGCTTCTTTATGCCTTCTCTTACTTGAGCACCAGTTCAATACTGAGCAATAAATTTAATAAATCATGATATAAAGATATGATCCTCCGCGCCGCTTCACCTTTCATGAACACCACAATTCCTAGTCTTCTGCAACCGTGCTCCACTCCTCTTTCCACAGTTTTTTCCTCTTCATTATCATGGAAACCTCTCTCTCTTTGCTTTCCCACAGTCAAAGCATCGCCATCGGTGGAAAAGAAGGCTACCTTTGCGAGCAGGCGCCCTGGATTTTACAGGGATTCAAATGCAGAGGACAACAAGTTCAGAGAAGCCACAACGTCGTGGTGGTCTCCTTCCTCTGATGATTTGGACTCGGATGATGAAGATGAAGAGGAGGATGATGTTTTTGAGCAGCCATGGGAAAGCTTTGGAATCATCAAGGCAAGATTGATGTCTCGATTTATTTTTATTTTTTTATCTGTTTATGATTTTTTATTTTCCATAGTTACAGGTTGACCTAGGAAATGATTTCGTTTAGAATTGGAATGACAAAGGTTCATGCTTCAATATCGTTGTCTTGATTTAGTTACTGAATGATTTTCACCTACACAAATAAAAGACTCGTATAATTAGTGACTCTTAGTTTCGGAGGAAAGTCCTGGTATGGTATTGGAGAAGATCTCCTTCCTATTCCTTGAAGTCTGTGCACATTTTTCTTTATTTATTCTGAGTTGTTGAATCTAACTTTATATCTATTTTGTGAAATTTCTGTTGCAACGGAGGATGTTGATGGGATTTCTGTTGCAACAGAGGATTTTGATGGGAAAACTAATGAGGCAATGTATGTCTATTGTATGTTTGATTGTGTTTTAGATGGCTTAACCTTGAAGTAACTCATTAGTTTATCTATTTCAAGCTGGCTGAACCTTCTGTGCATGAAGCAAAAGCAGTCACATTTTGACATTTTCAGCCACTATAGACCATCTGAAAAGAAATATTTGTTTTGAGAAATTGCTACATTTGTTCTTTCCTGATTCAGAGGAATATGTTTATGTTAGTTTTTGCCACTAATTTCCATAGTCATGTAGTTAATATTCATAAATAACTCCGTGTGGTGGTGATTCAAAATTACCCCAACCCCCCCTCCCCCCCCCCCACCCCCATTCCCAAAAAAAAAAGAACCCCATCTTTTTGTTGGGTAGTCCTGGTGTAGATTTATTAAATTAGGGAAAATGATTTGATAGGGCTGCGGCCTTATCAAAACAAGCAAAGCCTCATCTTATAACTCATTAGAAATTGCTATTCAAGCATTGAATGGAAATTATCAATAATATATCTTAATTTTAGTTTAATTAAAAAAAAACCCTCAACTTTCATAAACTTCATCCACAACTTTTTTCCTCAAATTTGACATTTTTTTTACCAAAATGACATTCACAGTAGTCGTATTACCATAATCATTACCGCATTACGGTACTTTATGATAGGGTCTTCACAGTAATATGACCACCGTTTAGGCTATTTTGATTAAAAAAAAAATGTCAAAATTAAAGAAAAAGGGTGTGGACGAGGTTTATGAAAGTTGCGAGTTTTTTTTTCCAATTAGACAGAAATTAAGGCATGCTTCTGATAATTTCCTAGCATTGAAAAACCTTTGCATTGATCATCTCGGCTTCAACATTATGTTTGTAAAAAAAAAAAGGATTTGAAGATCTAAAAATGGTGCATATTGCAACAAATTATCTAGGCCGTCCATTTCGCCCTAAAAATAAGTGTTCATAGATCCGCAAGATTTGTACCTTTTTTTAGTTTCAAATTTTATTTTTTGATGTTGAAAATTGATTTTAGAGCCATCATGGAGATTTCCGTTGCCGAAAGTACTTCTAGACAAGGATTTGAGGCGAGCCTTTATTTTGTTTCATAGAACCTGAGCTTTATAGAAACTTCATTCTGAAATTATATATGAGCGCATATATTATGCTCACACAGGAGCATATACTGTGCATCTACTCCCTCGCTCAAAACACCTATTTAGGAGGTTTTTTTAGCCTAAAGTTTTGGGAACCACATAGAAAATACTAGATGATCATTTTTAAATAAAAAAATAAAATTATGAGATTTGTGACACTTAGATCTAGCCCTCCAGAAATTGGATGGTCTCTATTTAATCTTGAGGCATTAATTTTTTCCACAGAGAGTTTATTTCAGATTTTTTTTTTTTTGCTGAGATTGTTCTATAGACTTTCAAGATCTGGAAAATTATCCCTAGAATGTGTTTTGCTCGAGGGAGTAAATGGATAGGATACTTCCATGGGGGTAGGAAATCTTTTGGCTTTATTTATTTATCATTCATCATTATCACTATCGTCTTCATCATCATCATCATCATCATCATCACTATCGTCGTCATCATCACTCTCGTTATCATCATTATCATCATCATCATCATCTCTATCGTCGTCTCATCATTATTATTATTAGGCATTTTTCTTTTTGATAATCTTGGCCTCATGTAGGATCCAAACTGTAAACTTGGAATTGAGATGATTAGCTTCTCAACCATAAGCTAGTTATTGGTTAGAACTCAACCTATTCTCCTTTTTTATTTGTTAAATATAGGTTTTGGCAGTCCCCTAATGATATATTGATTTGACAAAGAATATATGCTGCATGCCTTAGATGCCTTGTTGTCATGTTCATCAGAATGATGTGTCACTCATTCTATGTAAATATAAGTTGTGGCTAACTGCCCAAACTCCAAACGTGCACCAACTGCTTTATGCAAGAACCCTAGTGATTCATGCACCTTGCTCATTTTTCTTTGAAGCATATACGCTTGTATAACTTTATCATCAACTGCCTAGTTTTCTTCTCTATATTTTGCTTTAGATTCCATTCAATTCCTTCCAATGTCTAGCGATTTTCTTTGATGTCCCTTCAAATGTGCCCTTTTGTATTAGTCATCTAGATCTAGCTTATAATTGATATTAAGCAACAATTAATATGAGTATTAAGTTATAGATACTTTCTGTACTATTCTTCACCTAGGGTTCTTTTTCTTTTGATGTTTGGCTATTTTTGAGAAGTTTCTTACTATGAATGCCTTCGGAGATGTGGTTGAAGACTCTAGATTTGTTTGTGGGCTGGGTGGTAAAAGAAATGAGATTGTCTACAGAAGGACTATTTATCTTTTGTACATGGTGGTCACAATCATTCCCACTCATTAGATGTCAAATTGGATGGCTTAGGGTTTGTCATGAAGTCCAAAAATATCTTTTTTTTTTAGCGTTGTGTCTATTCAATGACACTCATACAACCACCATTTTGAAATTTAAGGGACAAGAATGATGGTAGCTTCCATGTACAAAAGATAAATGGTCTCTTTGTATACAATCTTGAAGGAAATAACAGACGATCTTCTCATATAATATCCATATATAGTGGACCTTCTTCTCCTTTTTCCATGATATAGGAAAGGTTGTTTTATTCAAGTTGTAGTAAACAAATATGAAAGAAAGAGCGTTTCTAGCAGCATTTTTTCCATGGCAGTGGACCTGTCTCTCTAATTTCTCATTTTCCTATTGCCATGACTCTTACCATAACTCGATTCAAGCTGTCAGTATTCTTTCTTGTTATTATAGAACCCTGACCTGGCTGATCCTTTGGAAGGCAGCCAATCTGGCAGTTTAGCTGAATGATACTGGAATCGGTTAATCTGACTTTAGTATTGATTAAAAAGATTAGTATGTCTGCGGGAACTATTCTTTTTTCTGCCTCAATTAGGAGAATTTGTCTACTTTGCTTTAGACAACATCGTCTGAGTTTATTGATGTGCTTCTGCAGATGCAGATCCTAAAGAAACTAATTACTAAATCTCATAGTGGGAATATGTACTTAACAAGCACATGCTATTTTGGATCCTTGGCAAGGTCAAAAAGGGGTGCAAACCTTATTCTGTTTTATGGAAACAGGAATAAAAGATTAAATTCAGAATTTAGATTGTTTTTGATGTGGATTCATGAGCTTAAGGAATTCATCACTAGTTCATTACTGAGATCTTCTAAAAATGAAAATTCCCAAGCTGCTGACTGCTATTTATGTTCTGTGGTTAGTGTTGCAAATTTCAGCTGTCTTGTTGCCCAGGTAGTCGAGGGCCTTAGGTGTATCGCCTTGGGGTAGGAGGATGCTTAGGGTAGCATGCCCTACAGGCACCTGCCTTTTGGCCGGAGGCTAGTGACTTGGTGCCAGGAGGTCCCCTCTTTTGGCCTGGGCTGGCGCCTTGATGCCCCATGCCAAGGGCAGAAAATGGCCTTCAATGGGGGTGCATTTTCGGTCTTAAAAGTGAGGAAAAGGATTTGGGAAGCATTCTGCCTCCCAAAACTTTGCTTAGTTTTGAGAGAGAGAAACCAGATCAAGATAAGTTGTTTGAGATTTATTGAAGGTTGAAAAGAATTTCAGACCATTTGATTTCTAGACGAAATCTTAAGGCATACAATCAGATTGTGTGCAAGACTTAAAGAGGGCAGACAATGTCTTTCAGCAACCAAAGCACACTGATTGGACCTAAATTTGACGAGGTTTCTGAAGATTAGTATATTTCAATTTTTGGTTTAGGGTTTGGTGATATTTTAAAATATTGGTTGTCGGGTTTTTTATTTTTATTTTTTAATTATTGATTGTTGGGTTTTCCTTCAAGTTTGGTTTTGGCCTCTATTCGGAAGTGTTTTTGGGTTTAAGTTTATTGACATTTTTTTAAGAATGGGTTACATAGTTTTGCTAAAATATCAATAAACTCGTGTATCCTAGGATATCTTTGTTGCTTTCTTAATCCTATAAATTTGTCTTAAGATCCAGTTTCAAAAAAAAAAAAATTGTCTTACGATTGAAAGGGCCATAACACACACAAACACACCTGAAATTATTATCATTATTATTAATAAATACTTGATACATAAGTTCAGTTAGGGGGTTTGGTGTCCAACCCAAACCCCAACATCCTTGAGGCTCCAAACCTCTCTTCTCTCTATTCCGCAAAACCAAATCCAACTTTTTGAACACTGTTATGGCTACACACACAAAAACAAGTTCAGTTAGGGGGGTTTGGTATCCAACTCAAACCCCAACATCCTTGAGGCCGCAAACCTCTCTTCTCTCTATTCTACGCAGCCAAATGCAACTTTTTTTAACACTGTTATGGCCACACATGCATCCGCAAATGCACACGCACACGCACTCACTTACTCACTCATAAATGAAGTTCTACAATACTGCATTCATGGCTTATCAACATCCAAAGTCTAAAAAATGTCACAACTGTTTGATAGTATCTGAATTTTAATAATTCTTTTTGCAAATTAGATTCATTTGAAGATTGGGGTGTGTGTACATCCAACCAACTCTCACCTATATTAAATATTAAAAAATAATTACCAAAAAATAAA